GGCCTGGGCTAAATTTGAACCCGCTACCTTAGGTGTATGTGGCTGGCGCCTTAGCCACCTGAGCCACCGGTGCCGAGCCCATAATATGTATTTTTAAAGGGGTGGTATACAGGGATGACTGGAGGGATAAAGAAAGGCTGAGTCTTTATCTCCTCTACTAGCCATTTTTCAGCATTCTCTAAAAATCTTCTGACATCACCTAAATTTAGGCTGGCCTCCAAATTTTCCCATGATGATTTACAAAACTTTCAAGCTGAAAATATGATGAGGAATAAAATCAAACCTCTCCATCCAAATGGCATATATGAATATCTTGGACCGATATCAATTCTTGATATCACAACCCACCAGATTCATTCTAAGGCAATGGAGGTCAAAATGCATACTGTGACAGCTATAGCTACTCAGTTTTGGTTCTGTCATGTCAAACCTGCCTTGTAATTGGCAGTGAGAAGTTCATATACAAGAAATGACTCCTCTCTCTTAATAAGGTGATGTTCATTCAACTTTCTGATAAAAATAGGGACAGGCACTATAGCAGTTTCTATGACTAGATTCCTAAGAGAGCTCACTACTTTCATTCCTTTACTCAAAAATATTCACCTAGCTGGACATGGTGGCTCACAACTATAACCTTAGCTGGCCCGGGTCAGCTGACTCTGGGAGGCTGAGGTGGGTGGATTGCCTGAGCTCAGGGGTTGGAGACCAGCCAGAGCAAGACCCAATTGCTACAAGAAATATAAAGAAAACTAGCCATGCTGTGGTAGATACCTGTACTCCCAGTTACTAGGGAGGTTGGGGCAAGAGGATCACTTGAGCCCACGAGTTTGAGGTTCCTGTGAGCTATGATGCCACAGCACTCTAGCCTGGGCCAAAAAAGCAAGACTCTGTCTTCAAGAAAAAAAAGAAAAAAAAGAAAAAAAAATTTAACCTAAATCTTCTATACTGTGCTGGAATCTAAGGGTTTAACAGGGAGGTACTTGAACCCAGTCCTCACTCTCATGCAGCTTTTACTAAAGAGGTTTAACTTTAAATTCTCACCTACTCTGGCATTTCCCCCATTTATCTTACATTAATAAAGAATACAAAGAAGTCTTATATGGGAATTTACAAATACTGGTTGAGTCTCACATTTTGTCACCTATAATATAACCATAATAATCATCTATTACACAAGATTGTTTCAAGGATTAAATAATTATGAAATGATTAGCATAAATCTGACAATGACATGTTAGCTATTAAGAGTAAAAACATTTTTGTTTGGTTAAAGGCTGGGTGTGTCCATTTACTAGTTTAAAGAACTGGTCAGAAGTATAGATTCTACAACACCTGGCTATTTTTAGAGATGAGGTCTCACTCTGGCTCAGGCTGATCTC